GAAATTCTGTATTCGAACACTCCTGCTGCTCTTTTTTGTGTTTTACTGTTTTGAAACACAAAACTGAGCTTTGTTCGATCTAAAATTATTGCGCTTAAGTCTGCTTAAAATTGCAGTGTATGTCTATCTTTGAAAAAATTTGGATCTACTTTCTAGATAGCAACGTAATCACTCACCAACAAGCCTTTTTATTGTGAATTCGACAAGTTGTAAATGCGTTCTGTTGACTAGGTAAACGTTGCCATCGAGAGCATATGAAGCGTTACGGAGTTTACCCAAGGGCACTCCGTAGTAATCGTAGGCTGATAGAATTTGTACTGAAAATTATGACATTTTTAGACAAATGTGTTCCTGTTGCTCATCTCGAAACAAAAACTGTTATATATCTATCTGATAAAACAATCCGCTCATTTTCAACTTCCTGAAAATCTAATGGCATAAACGAAGGGTACAGGTATGCCTCACATTTAGCGAAATAGGCGAGAAGCAGTAGAAGTCGCATTAGGTGAAAGTGATCTAATGAAGGCGTTGCACCGGATTACGCCGAAAACGAAACGCGGATCCCCATCGTTTCGTTCGTGCTATCAATCATATCCAACAATCATATATTCTTGACTTCCTTGTATTTGATCACATATCATTATCTACGTAGTATGTTAATATGCGTCAGATTTATTATATCACAAAGTGAAATAAGGAGTATTTGTTTTCAAGCAGCGTGCCTGATGTGTCTCTTAAAATATTATATTTCATAGAACTTTTTACAAGTGTAATCAATGCATATTTTCAAACTACTCATTAGAACATCTTTCCATCCGTCGGCACTGTGCTTCAAAAAATTCGCCAGTCACGATTTGATGTCTGAAAAAACAATTTTTAATAGCCAAAATCATTCTTAACATGAGAAAAAGTGCTAATCCAAATTTTAAGGATGAGTTCTCTTATTTCATGAACTTGTACGGTACTTTGAGAACAGTTTAAGAGAATCCTTCTACCTTGATTGAGTACTTTTACTTTCCATGGTAAAAAAATATAAGCAAGATCTAAATACCATTACAGCTTTATCAGCAACATTTTTTTTTGTATTCTTGGTTTTGAAAGGCTCATTTTCCTTTCTCAATAACGTAATATTTGTCAATCATTTTTTTATCTTGTTTTGTGGACTCATCGAACTATTTATGATAGAGTTGCAGATATAGAGGTAGTAAAAGGAAATGAATGCTGCAGAGATATCCTTGTTTATTTACGCCCAGTAAAGATGTACCTCAACGCATATATTGCTAATGACGGTAGCTATTTGAGGGCTGTGAGATCGGTTTCATATGAATACTAAGCCTAGCTCTTCTGCCGGCTTTAAAACTTAAATCTTCGTTGACAGAGGACTGCTGTAGCGGTCCGTGATTTGAAACCAGCGGTTTCGATTAATAGTTGTGTTTCTCTACACTTTCAAGCATTTTTTTAACATTCAAATTAAGGGAAATCTATTACTGTTCACTTAAATCTTTTGTCGCTGCAAAACTTGGTTTCACCTACTATTTGCATATTAGTAGTGCATCGTTGTATACTAAATTTAGAAGCGACGTTTTGCAGGAGCTGCATCATGTTGGAGATCCACAAAAGCTAATAGTATTCTCTGTATTTGACATTCATTCTCAAAAATAGTCTTTTGCATCAATGCAATATTATGATTCATAAAAACTGTAATTTACGTGTTCCCTCCGCTTAAGCAGGATAATCGTCACGGACGAGCTGAGCGTTTTTTTGTTTTTGTTGTAATAGCGTAACATCACCTTGTCGTACTGCTTTTTATTCATTGTTCTGTGCACTTTTGCATTTTACCCACGATGTTGTGCCCTTTGTGATACGTAGTTCCCGTACATCGTATCATTTGAACCCTACTGAAAGTGAGTGCTGAGAATTTTTTTTCGCTTCTTTCTGGCTATCTATTGGGAATCATTTGATGAATTAAAATTTTCTTTTTTCCTACTAGTCTTTTCTTCTTTCTGGTGGCGTTTTTGCAGTTTTGCTGACAGTTCTCTTGCCGCTATCTGTCTGCCTCTTTAATGATTCTTATCGTAAAATTTCTGGTTGATGCTAATAGTAACACTTTGTGTATCAGATGAATCGCGAAACAAATGACCTTTCTTGTCGGCAGTATGCATGTTCTCCTTTGCTTTATCGCTCATCTCTACCGTTAAATACTTTATTCACATCTGCTGCAAAACATGACCCTTTTTTGATAATTGCTATATTGATGCATACAATTTCTTAGATGCCTTAATAGGAAACTGAACGGCAATGGGCGCTCT